CATAAGGAAGAGGAGGGAGGTACATGTGGAGAGGAATTTATTTCACGAATGAAGGCGAATATATGTGTCCCAGGATAATGTTGCAGGATCCAATTGGGGTCGATTGCTGGGGCTTAGTCTTCCGAGCTTTCGGACCCATTCTGGAGCCCATCCTCAGGGAATTTATCTCTAGCCAGAAGAGAGAGAAAGTCAGTCCTGGTGACTGACCCAGATTGGATCCTGCAGGAATTTATTTATTCAGAAGACAGCTCATTTCTTTTGATTCACTCCCAGTGGAAAGGTTGACGGGTTTGCTTATCTGAACAATCCAACATTTGTGAGTAATCCTTCCTTTCCACCACACTGTTTTATTAGCTGCTGTGGTTTAGATTCCCTTTTCTTTCTTTTTTTAAAGTTAGTCTTTACTGTATATAAGCAAGTGATATATGATAATGTTCCAAAAGCCCCCCGGGGCATTGTTCTCTACCAGTTTCCATTCAACTGATGAAAGAGAATTAAATTCTGAAATGTCTCTCAGCGCAGAAGAAAAAACCCAGTGAAAATCTCGCAGGTAGAATGTAAGTTAGCGATGCAATAGTCAAAAGCTACTTTTGGGGGATGTGATAACCAGTGTGAATGTTCTGTCTTCAGTCTTTTGCAGGTCTGAGGCCTCCCTGGCTCCCCAAATTTAATTATATCCCCCGAAACAGACCTAATTAGGGTGTTCCTTCCATCAGCTTTTCCTGATGGGAAATCTGAGCTTCAAAGTCGTTTTCAGCTCTAGAAATATCATAGCACTCTGAGTAATGGAATTACAGATGGCATATAGAACCATAAAGATAGAGAGGGCCAGTCCGAGCATGGACCTCAACATAGTATCGGAGTAATGATTAAAATATCTCAGCAAGTAGCTCTTTGAACACATCTAATGAAAAGTCTATACCACTCTGTTAATCATTGGTCCCACTATTTAACTGTTCTTACTCTTAGGACTGTCCATGAGGCGATCAAACTGGTCAGTCCTAGAGGAGATCAACCCCGACTGCTCTTTAGAAGGCCAGATCCTGAAGTTGAAACTCAAGTACTTTGGCCACCTAATGAGAAGGAAGGACGCACTGGAGAAGAGCCTCATGCTGGGAAAGATGGAGGGCAATAGAAGAAGGGGACGACAGAGAAGGAGGTGGCTGGATGGAGTCACTGAAGCAGTAGGTGTGAGCTTAAATGGACTCCAAAAGATGGTAGAGGACAGGATGGCCTGGAGGAACGTTGTCCATGGGGTCGCGATAGGTTGGACACGACTTCGCAACTAACAACAACACTCTTAGGACATTTCCTAAGTTTTAGAACAGGGGTTCCCAACCTTTATGGTTTTGCAGACAGGTGGAGGTGATGATGGCTTTGATCATTTCAGCGGGGTGGGGGGAATGGTTTCATGCGTATAACTTGAATCTCAAGCATGAGCAAATGAAGCTTTGCACACTCGCCCACTGCTTCGGTGGCCTGGTTCCCAACCGGCTGCAGCCAGGTTGTAGGCCATGACCCAGAGGTAGAGACTCTTGTCTTAGAACATTCAACCCCTCATATTACACTTAAATGGAAAACATAACATACTGTTTGCCCTAGCGTCATAGTCTTATTAGGTGTGCCCTTAAAAAACAAGAAGACTCCTTTTTTGGTCTAACTCCAAGAATGCAAGTTTTGAGAAGCAAAATTCTAAGACAGAAATTCCATCTCTTCCAACACAACAATAGCAGCTTTAGGACTGTGTTGTCTATGATGAATTAGGAAACCTTGACTGGTTAGGTGGATTGTAGGTGAAAACACCTTTGCCTAGTTCCTGAACCCTTGGGCCATTTTGTTGCAAATATTAATTTTGTTCGGTCTTCTCAGCCAATTTGCCTTACTAGAAGAAGTCTTTAAGAGGGAAAAGGAGCATAATACTCTCTCAAGCCCTAATTAAGATTCCTTCCCTTGTCCCCACCCCCCACCCCACTACGTTTCAAAGTCACTTGGCAAGTTTGTGATGAGGCTCTTTCTCTGCTTTATTTTGCTTCACTAACTGTAGACTTTTTTTTTTAATTTTTATTTTTCCTTTTTTCCACTGTACAAAAATAAAACTGAAAAAAATACATTTTTCCCTTAACAAAACTGTGTTATACATCTCCTATATATTATTTACAATTTATTTACATCAGTAATCATGTCTTTTTTTTTTCTTTGTTCTAGCCAATCATAACATTTGTTCCATATTTCATAAAATTCTGTTGCCTCCTTGTCTTTTAATTCTAGGGTAAGTTTATTCATTTCCACACGTTCAAGAATTTGGTATATAATCATATCGTTTGTAGGTATGTTTTCACCCTTCCAACACTGAGCATATACTATATGGGCTGCTGTCAATATATGTATAATGATGTGTTGGTGTTGCTTTTTGATCTTTAAATTTATTATACCCAGAAGAAATGGTTCAGGTTTGAATTCAATTTGCACCTTAGTTATCTCCTGTATCCAGTTCCCTATCCGTTCCCAATAGCTCTTTGCTTTAGGGCACAACCACCACATGTGATAGAATGTTCCTTCCTTATTTTTACATTTCCAGCATTCCGGATTCATATTTTTGTACATTTTGGCCAATCTCACCGGTGTTAAATGCCATCTATAGAACATTTTGTATTGATTTTCCCTATATGCAGTTGACAGTGTCAATTTGCAATTTATGTTCCACTAACTCAGTGGTTCTCAACCTGTGGGTCGGGACCCCATTTGGGGTCGATCAACCATTTCACGGGGGTCGCCAAGCATTTTTTTTGTCCGCCATTTTTTTTGACCGCCATTTTTTCCCCCTTTTCCAGCGGGTGCCTTACCTTCCTTGGGCTGGGCCAGCTGGTGGTCGGCCTGCTCCGTCTCTGCCACTTGCCAGCTACGCCTCGGCCGGCGCAGGGGGTGGAACCACGCATGCGCGGCGCTCCCGGGCAGGGAAAGTCCTCAACTTACGACCGGTTGGGTAGTCCTCGACTTACAACCGGTTTAGTCCTCGACTTACAACCGGTTTAGTCCTCGACTTACAACCGGTTGGGGTCGCAGCATTAAAAAGGTTGAGAACCACTGCATTAACTGTAGACTTTTATTGGTGATCCCAGCTGGATAGTTCTTTGATGTTTTCAAACAGCAACAATCATTTTCCCCAAATTGTGCAAGAAAGCCTTTCATTCTAGAAATTCAAAATACTAGCCAGAGGAAACTAATTAGATATCCAAGCCCTCCTTCTCAATGCCTGGACATGTATAGATTCCAAAACTTTAGATTTTTATTTTTTTTAAAAAAATAAGAATTCTGCCCTCCTTCGGCAAGGTTTGGGTTCAGGATGCTTTAGAATTTGGTTTGCTTGCCTGCCTGCCTGCTTACCCACCCGCCTGCCCATCTACCCTCTTGCTTTATTGCCTGCCCGCTTGTCTGCATGCTTGCTTGACTTGAAAATAAGAGGAATGGGAAATAGAACGAAGAGAAGGACGAGGGGGGACATGATAGCCGTGTTCCAATATCTTAGGGGCTGCTCCAAAGAAGAGGGAGTCAAGCTATTCTCCAAAGTGCCTGAAGGCAGGACAAGAAGCAACGGATGGAAACTAATCAAGGAGAGAAGCAACTTAGAACTAAGGAGAAACTTCCTGACAGTGAGAACAATTAACCAGTGGAACAACCTGCCTCCAGAAGCGGTGAATGCTCCAACACTGGAAGTTTTTAAGAAGAGACTGGACAGCCATTTGTCCGAAATGGCATAGGGTTTCCTGCCTGAGCAGGGGGTTGGACTAGATGACCTCCAAGGTCCCTTCCAACTTTATCATCATCATCATCATCATCATCATCATCATCATCATCATCATCATCATCATCATCATCATCATTATTATTATTATTATTATTATTATTATTATTATTATTATTATTATAGCTAGTTAACAAAAGTAGTCAATATTACTGCAATTGTATTCAGTTCCAAAGGGAAACTGAACCCAGGCCATAAACAGGATGAGGTTTTCTAAACTTTCCCAATTCCAAATTTATCCCAGTCAGTAGCTGTCAGCCTTACAAAGTAGATCAGACATGAAGCACAACCAGAGCTGCTAATTCTATTTTATTGTAAGGTTCATTATCAGAATCTAGCAAATCTGAAAGTACATTTCTCTCTTTTTTTTCCCCCTCCACATAGTCACCTTTACAGCCCAAGAAACTAGGGGGGGTGCCTCCTGAGCCTCTTGCCCCATCCACAATCCTGCTGCAGGCTACACTGCCTTTTATCCAGCCTTGGTTGATCCACTGGCTCCATCTCGTTGCCCTGACTCCCGAGGTCATTCCCATGCACCATTGCACCAGTTGTCTTGAATGAGTCCATGTGTTAACGCCAAATATTTCTTCAGGATTTGCGTTGTGATATCAATATCATCCAAAGTAGGAGAGGGTTAGATTGGGTTAGAGTGATCTCCGTAAATAGATATGTTAAGATGGGTTGATACCCCAAACGTTCTCTGAAGGAACTGCAACATTGAAAAGACAAGTTCTTGAGGCCTGAATACCAACCTTCTCCAAGCTAGCACTTGGTTGACGTGTTTAGTTTTGCAGTTTCCAGGGTTTTCCCAGCATGGCCAAATGGACCTCTAGGTTTCTAGCCCTAATATGGTTGGTACTCAGCTGGAGAAGGGTAAGCTATTCAAATTTTAAATGGAATAAAGTTCTAGCAGTATCGCTTCTTCTTTTTTTTTCATCTCATTTGTCTTCAAGGTGGATGATCAGATTTGGTAGACTTAGAGTGAGCAAGACACCAAGCTTATCAAATAAAAAGGTTGGTGGGCAAAAGGGAATGAAGAAGAGAAAATCATCCTGAACCCCACTCCCGTGGCTATATATAGTATGAGAGTTGAAACTCAACAACCATGTGATTCAAGGAAACCAACTTAGATAATTATCAATGAGATTAAAATTTTCTAATCGCACTGTCTTTCTCTTTCCAGACTCTGCTAAAAGAAATTAACCAAGATGAATTGGTCTGGTTTGGAAGACCTCTTGGGGGGAGTGAACAAATACTCCACAGCGTTTGGGCGTATTTGGCTCTCGGTTGTCTTCATCTTTCGGCTTCTAGTCTACTTAGTGGCAGCGGAGAAAGTCTGGGGAGATGACAATAAGGACTTTGACTGCAACACCGAGCAGCCAGGTTGTCCCAATGTCTGCTATGACCTTTACTTTCCAATCTCTCACATCCGACTCTGGGCCCTGCAACTGATCCTTGTCACCTGTCCTTCCCTGTTGGTTGTGATGCATGTAGCCTACCGGCAAGCCAAACTCAAGAAACGTTTACAGAAAAGTGGGAATACCTTCAAACCACGTTATCCCCCCGGCAAGAAGCGTGGAGGGTTATGGTGGACCTATCTCTTCAGTCTTCTCTTCAAAGCTGCGGTGGACATTGTGTTCCTGTTTATCTTTTACCACGTGTACCCAAACTACAAGCTTCCTACTCTAGTCAAATGCTCTCACTCACCTTGCCCTAACCTAGTTGACTGCTACATAGCCAGGCCAACAGAGAAGAACATCTTCACTCTGTTCATGATCATCACTGCCTGTGTTTGTGTCCTACTTAGCCTCCTGGAAGCTTTCTATCTCATTGGGAAAAGATGTAAGGAGAGCCTTCAGGAGCAAAGTGGAAGTCACCGAATAGAGAGTGGAGAAGTGCACTTTCTCAAAAGAGACCATTGCTCCCTGTCCCCAAGTAAACAGGACACCACTGAAATAGACGGGCAGATTTTTCATGGGGCAGATTATAAGCCAGTCACTTCACCTCTCATAAGCAGCTCCCAATGTGGAGAGCCTTCAAAACTTGGGAAGCTGGAATAAACATACACCCATGAAAAAGAAGAGCTTGGACACGATCCATATTGCTTCGCTCCGATTCCAACGATTTCTGCTAAGCTGGAAACATGAGAAGTGTGAGAAATGGTGGAAGTTATAGGAGATTAGGAAAAAAGAACATTCGTCTAGCTCTGTTTGTTCAGGTATCAGTAGCTACTGTATTTTGCCATGTAATCCACTCCTGGTTTATGCTCCAACCAAGCAGCCATGGCCTTCTTCAGGGTGGTCCATTACATTCCCATCTACCTTTCTGGGTTTTTTTTTAACCACAACACTTGTACTCATGAGTTTAGTGTTTTCTTCCCTATCCAAACTCCAAACTTCCTCAACTCAAAAACATTGTAGCTCTGGAAACCTAAGAATTCCAGTGTCATTCCAGTGACTCTTCTGCATGGGGTTGGTGGTTCTTCTATCCAAGCACAGCTCTTTTTTCCAGATCTTCAACTGCCATATTTATTTGTTCTTATTCTTTTAACTGAATGCACCTAAGCCAGGGGTAGGCAACCTTGGCTCTTTTTATGACTCGTGGACTTCAACTCCCAGAATTCCTGAGCCAGCATAGCTCTGGGAGTTGAAGTCCACGAGTCATAAAAGAGTCAAGGTTGCCTACCCCTGACCTAAGCTACTTGTCAACAACACATTGTTCTTTATTTACTTTCTAACCCAATTCATTTTTTTATAATTATCTCACTATCAAGGCCGTATTTGGTGAAACTGGTATTGAGATGCTTTTCCAGTCAAGAGAACTTGGAATTGTAAAATAAAACTGAAGACGTGATAGCTGATGAAGGAAAGGCTAGCACTGTGTCCTAGCCCTGATGAAGTAGTGCAGTTCCTAGCTTGAAAAATATGAGCTTTCACTTGCAGGAGCCAGGAATGGCAAAGAAGATGATCCGTATGGTTTGGTGGTCTGCCATCATTACTGACATTCAGCTTGATGGTCTATGGGATGTCAAGAGTGAATCTAGGCATAAAACAATGCATATTCTTAATAACTGAAAATCAAATTTTGGATAATAAAAATCCGTCGGATATCAATGAGATCACTTAACCTGTAGCTCCCTTTTCTCTTGGTTTACTGGAAGCAATTCCCCAAAATTACATAGGTGTCTTCACCGACTATATTTGGAGATTACAGGGTTAAACTTTAAGATTATTGGCATAACAAACCATTAATTTTGATTCCTCATTTTCTTTCTGTTATGCTTTCTGGATTAGGAGATTGGCGCTGGGCAGACAATAGGCAAGAAATATAACAACAATCTATTACATCCTTGTGTAAGTTCCACACCTCAATGCCAACTGATCATCTCTGTTTTAAGTCCTGATTTTCTTGCTTAGTTTGGCTGAAACTCTACAAGCCACGGCAAACCCCTCCTCTGCATTGGCACACTCCAGTAATTAATTACGTGCTATTGATGGGTTGGTTGCTATTAATTATACAGCACATGTTTTCTGATTCATTTCTCCACTTATGATCTAATAGACTATTGAGAAACTGTTTACCTCTGACCTAAATTCTCTGTTTCTCAATTACTATGGTGCCCAGAGAAACTTCTGGAACAGTTTGTTTGTTTTGGAGAAAAGGAGAAAATATACATTTTTGGAAATAAAATATAAATTGAGATATTTTTTTCCCTGAAGTAGAAACGGCTGTCCGTCTTTTGAACCAAGAACACTTGATTTAGTTTACTAATTTTAAAATAAATCCCATAACTTATCTGTAAAGTATGTAAGACACCATGTGTGGCCTACAAACTTGAGTCAACCCATTTGTTCATCTAGCTCAAGATGGTTGGTGCTTACTGACAGCAGCTGTCTATGATCTCAGGGCTGACTACCTCCAATTCTTGATCAAGATGTCAGGAAGTGAACTTTTGATCTTCTGCACAGACAGCTGTCTTATACTGACTGACACCAATTGTTGTTCTGCCTAATTCTCAGGGTTTCAGACAGAAATCTTTCCTAGAAAATTCTTGGAGAATTCAGAATTCTGGACGCCTTACTTGTGAAGAACAGATCTCTGTGCATTTATCTACAGCTCTTTCTATCTCCATATTGATCTACATGGCACCCAATGCCTTGGTTGAAAAGTGTCATGAACCTCTGCACAAAAGCCTATAAAATTGTGCTGCACTTTGTTCTGGTTGGTTTAATCAAAATTTTAGTTAGTTGGATTTTGAGGATCAGTTGCAATTATAAAAGCTAAATTTACATACTTGAACACTTTTAATATTTAATGTAATGATGTAGACAATGATAAATAAAAATGTTGAAGTTGGCTAACTACAATTAGTTGTTGTCTTATTTCAAGATACCTGACCCCTCTATCACTATACCCAGAACAGGAGTTCTTTGTTACAATTGGGATATTATGAAAATGCTTTAAGTTCTGGTTATTTTAAATAAAGAAGGACTAAGGGGAAATTACCTATATATTTTTTTCCATTGCTTGTAAGAGTAATTACATACTTCTTTCTGAAGGACCTGCTAAGTCCAACTTAAATTCAGGAATAGACTTCTTAATAAAATAATATGCCACTGT